CCCTTCTTGCAACATGTCCAAAGTATGTCAGATAAAGCTTCAGAGCCCTTGTCTCCAAGGAGCAACATGGTTTAACCCTCACCAGGATGAACTTGTTCATTCTCTTTGAAATCCATGGTTTATTCCATACTCTTCTCCAACACCACAGCTCAAAGGCATCAATTCTTCTTCTATCATCATTGTCCAGGTTTTTGATGCATAGCAAGTGATTGCAAAGACCATGGCCTGTATCAGGCGCACCTTAGTCTTCAGACTGACATCATTGCTCTCCAGTACTGTGGAGAGGTCTCTAATAGCAGACTTTCCCATCACAGTACATCTTTTCATTTCCTGACTGCTGGTGCCTAGAGTGTTGATTATGGAACCAAGAAAACTAAAGCTGTTTATAATCTCCATCTCTTCACCATCTATCATGATGTTTCCAGTTGGTCCAGTGGTGAGAATCTTTCTTTTCTTGATACAGAGCTTCAATCCATATTGAAGGCTGCAGTCCTTGACTTCTGCAGCAAGTGCTTCAGGCCCTCCTCAGTTTCAGCAAGCAGGGTTGTGTCATCTGCATAATGCAGATTGTTGATGAGTCTTCCTCCATTCCTGATGCTGCATTTCTCCTCATAGAGCCCAGCCTCCCAGATAATAAGTTCTGCATATAGATTGAAAAGATACTGAGATAGGACACATCCCTGGCATACACCCTTCCCAATTTTGAACCATTCAGTGTTACCTTGCTCGGTTCTGATGACTGCCTCCTGGTCCAAATATAGGTTTCATATAAACACAATCAAGTGTTCTGGTATTCCTGTTTTTCTCAGAATTAGTCACAGTTTGTTGTTATCCACACAGTCAAAGGCTTTACATAGTCAGTGGAACACAGATAGATATTCCTCTGGTACTCCCTGCTTTCAGCCAGGATCCATCTAACATTAGCTACAATATCCCTAGTACGACAACCCTTTCTAAACCCAGTCTGACAGTTCTCTGTTGATGTGCTGTTCCAGTCGTTTTTGGATAATCTTCAGCAGAATCTTGCTTGCTTGTGATATTAATTATATTGTTCAATAATTTCTGCACTGTCAAATCATCTTTCTTTGGAATGGGAACAAATATAGATCTCTTTCAGTCAGTTGGCCAAGTGGTTGTCCTCCAGATTTCTTGGCACAATTTGGTGAGCACATCTAAGGCAGCATCTGTTTGTTGAAGTATATCAATTGATATATTTTCAATTCCTGGAGCCTTGTTTTTTGCCAATTCTTTCAGAGCTGCTTGAACTTCTTCCTTTATCACCACAGGCTCTTGCTCATACTTTGTTTCATGAAAATGGTAGATGAATTAATTTCTAGATTCTTGATTATATTCCATTTGGTCTCCGTGTCTTGACAATGTACTGGTACCATTGATTTGGTTGCCACAGCTGTATTGTACATTTTGCTATCAGAGATGGCTAGGCCTTCCACTTAATTTTTATTTTTCAGAAGAACTTTGCTTATTCAAGGTCTTGTTCATTTCCAAATAAATTTCTTTATTGCCTTTTTCTTTGAAAAACGAATTTGATATCTGCATTGGGATTGCATTGTACATATAGATTGGCCTTGGTAGGATTATCATTTTAACAGTGTTCAGTCTTCTCTCCATGAACGGGTTATTTTTCTATTTAATTAGGTCTCTTACTGTTTCTGTAGTAGTGTAGTTTTCTTTAGAAACATCTTCAGTGTCTCTAGTTAGGTGTATTGCCAGGTATTTCATCTTGTGATTGGCTATTGTAAATGGTATTGCTTTCTTAGTCTTCTTTTTCTAGTTTTCTTTGTTGCTGTAGTGCAGTCAACTTACTTTTTTATATTGATCTTGTATCCTACCTAATAAACTAAATTGATCTACTAGGCCTTTCATTTTTTTGTTAAGTCTTTGGGGTTCTCTATGTACAGTATTATAATGTCTGCAAATAGTGACAGTTTTACGACCTCTTTGCCAATTTCGATGCCTCTTAATTCTTTCTCTTAGGAATTTCTTCTCTTAGAAGAATAAGCTAGGACTTGTTTCCCTGACCTGTACTTGTAATACAGTATTAGCTATGAGTGGTGATCATGGACAGCCTTGTTTGGTCTCTGTTCACAAGGGAAATGCCTTTAGTCTTTCTCCATTAAGAACGATGTTGGCTCTTGATTTTGCATATATACTTTTTCACTATGTTGAGGAGATTATTTTGTTGAGTGTTTTAATCAGGAAGGGATGGATTTGTCAAAAGCCTTTTTTGCATCAGCTGAATCATGTGGTCATGGCATTTGTTGTAAGCTTAAGTAAAATCCTTAACAACTTCAGTTTTTAAATCTTTTGTTTATTGTGATGTTGCTTATTGGTCTAGTTTAATCTTTATTCACTGATTCATACTGAATGTTATAGTCATTGAGCTTCATCAATAAGTGCTTTAAGTTCTGTTTGATTACAGGAAACAAGGTTGTGTCTGTTGTTAATGAGTCTTTCTCTAATTCTGATGCCTAGTTTTTCTTTATATATCCATCATGCTTGGGAGAGTGGAGGGACAGCGCAGGAGGGGAAGGCCCTCTATGAGGTGGATTGATTCAGTGACTGGGATAATCGGGATGGGAGTGTCAGAGACAGTGCGATTGGCACAGGACAGAGCAGAGTTTAGGGCTGTTTTACATAGGGTCGCTATGAGTCGCAAGCGACCCGACGGCACATAACAACAACAACATCCATCTTCTCAGATTATTTCCTCAGTGTACAAATTAAATATATAACAACCCAGATGCATACTTTTTCTGATTTTAAACTGTAAGCATTCTCTTCTTCCAATTGATGATTGCCCCTGGTCTGTATACAACTTCCACATGAGCACTATTCAGAAATTTCCATCCTTAATAGTTATCTTTGGTGGTTGTTAGGTGCTGTTGAGTCAAACACAACTCATAGTGACCCTGTGAACGCTGTTCTATCCTGCGCCATTCTCACACTTCTTGACACACAGGCGCTCACGGCAGCAGTCATTGTGTCAGTCTACCTGGTTGAGGGTTTTCCTCTCCTTTGCTGAGCCTCCACCCTTCCCAGTATCATGTCCCTCTCCAAGGATTAGCCCCTCCTATCCACATGCCCAAAGTGTGTGAGGTGAAGTCTCAACATTCTTGCCTTTAAAGAGCAGTCTGGCTCTACCCTCTCTAAGACACCTGTTTATTCTCTTGACTTTCCTTGGAATGTTCAGTGTTCTTCAGCACCTAAGATGTATCTGACTCAAGTATGAATTGCTTGTTAATGGTGTAATGTTGCTTCATATGGGTGTTAAAGTTGAACAGTGATCAAGAAAGACTATAGAAGAATTAATGCCTACAATTTATAGTGTTGGCAAAGAGTGTTGACTATTTCTTAAACTGTCAGAAGTACATAAAAATCTGTCTTGGGGAAAGTGCAATCAGGCTACTCTCCAGAGGCAAGAATGGTGAAACTTCATCTTACTTGGAAAAAGACATCATGCTGAGCAAAGTAGAAGGTCACTGAAAGAGATGAAGACTCTCATATATTGAAACGGTGACTGTAACAGTTGTTGTTGTTTGCCATTGAGTTGTAGATGGCTCATAGCAACCCTATGAACAGAAGACCCGAGCACTATTCATAGAGTTTCCGGAGGCAGGCCATTTCAGAAGTGGATGCCACTCCTGCTTTCAAGCTTCTTTTTAATCAGAAGCTCCACCAAACACTGTCCACCATGGGTAACCATTATCACATTTGGCACACCGGTGTCACAGTATTTAGCATCACAGCAACCACGAGTTACCTCTATACAGCAATGCACAGACCAGTGCTATACCACCTAGAAGAATGTTTGACAAAAAACAATTTAGACCAGTCCAAGGGCCGCAGATTAAAATCACCCACCTTGGCCTTGATAACATAACTTTCTGTCCAGTAGGCCAACGTAGCTCTATGTATGTTGTTGGACTATAACGGTAGGCATGAATATAGTGGAAATCATAAGGGTGGCACAGGATAGGGCCAGATTTTGATCTCTTGGTGATAGGATTTCTACTAAGTTGTGATTGACTTGATGGCCTCTACAAGAACAGTAACAAAATATTTGAACATCCACCATTTGGTTTTTTTAAATACAGTTACTATATCATTTCTTCCATTTTCTTTGGTGTTTCCTGCATCATTCAGTACATTTTCCTCATAGAATTCTTTAATGTTGAGACTTAAATTTCTTCCTCCTCTCAATTTCTTATTTTTCACTTGAAAAATACTGAACATGTAATTCCTTTTTAGTTTCTTTTGCAGATTTTATTATAATTTTTCTTCTCAAGCTCTCCTTTGAAATCTTCTGTTCTCTTTGATTTCATCATTTCTTTCTTTTGTTTTTTTAGCAACTCTGTTCAAGATTAAGTTTTACAGTCTTCATCTGAGTGCATGCATAAGGTTTATACTGGCCATTTTTAAAAACATGTAAATTACCAGCCTCTTCTTAATAGTCTTTCTGAGCCTGGAAGCTCCACTGAAACTTGTTCACCATAGCTGATCTTGCTCTAATTTGAAATGTAGGTGACATAGCTTCCAGTATCATAGCAATATATAAGCCACTACAGTAGAACAAAGTGACTTTTGGTATACAACTTCAGTTTGCCTATATTTTTACACTGTGCGTACTTGGGAGTTGCCTGGAAGAAAGTAGAAATCTAGGAACTCTGAATTAGATTGAAATAGTGGTAGGAGTATTTTAAAAAGAGAATTTAGGTTTAGGTTTTAAAATTTCCCAGGTTCAGTGTTCTATTGAGCATTAGTAATCTGTACCTTATGTACAAAAGTTGTTTACATTTTATTACATCTTGAAGACACACTAAATTGATTTTTATAATTATTTAAAAGAAAATCATAAATATGCTGCTAGGGGAGTAATTATTGCATTGCAACTTTAGTTTTGCTTAGAATACTTAAACAAAAGAAAGTTTTTAAAATGAAATTCAAGCTTTTCATATCTATTATCATCCCTCGTGTTTTAGCTGCAACAAATATGAAGTGGATTGAAGCTAAAATGAAAGTAAGTGTTAGAACACAGTCCATTTAAAAATGTTTTGAAACTGCTTTTGTGTTGTTGAAAATTTGAGGAATTAGTTTTATTCCCATTAGAAGTGTTTAGTCATAAGCAAATACCAACCTCAAGAATAGAAGTGTGTTTAAAATCTGGTTAATGACAGGAGTGTTGAATACCTCGTTCTTTTTCAAGAAAAATTAGTGGTAAGCTCCCTGCTCCCAATTTTCCTTTTACCATTTTATAATACTTTATTTTCCTTTGCTTGCTCTGATATATATTTAAATGGTTTTTTAAAATGATAAATTAGGAAACAATATAAATATATGATTTTTCTTCACTTCGAACTACCATTTATTGACTTAGCTAAATGATACTAAAATCTTGCTACTTTAGCAAGCAGTGTGTCCAATAGAGTAGAAAGCTGGTATTATGAGAAATAACATTTGCAGTCTTCAGGAAATATGATACTTAGCCCAGTGCTATATTTTAACCACATGAATATTTATATTTGTAGGAACTGGGAGTGAGTACAAATGCAAACTATAAGATTACCTTCATGTTGGACAGTGCTGCTATGATAACAGTGCATACTCCAAGAAGAGGATTAATAGATGTAAGAAGTCATTTTACATCTATTTAAAAAGCCATTTTTTAATACATGCTTTTGTATTTCTACTCATAAACTACAGAGATTGAAATTCACGTAAGTGGATAATGAAGTGACAGTTTGTGTTTTAACATAGGAAAAATATATTTAAAGTTAAAAGATAGAAATTTTAATGATTAAAGTTCTTGATATAGGAATATTAAGAAAGGAGCTTGTGATTATTGAAAATTGTCCACAGATAATGTTAGCTAAAGAGAGACTATGTGAGAAAAATGTTACACTCAACAGAATATGTTAGCAATGAAACTAGTAAACAGAATACCATGATACATGGACATAGGGGTGATGTATACACAGCCTTAGAAAAGAGTAGGAAGAACTATTAGAGAAAGAGCTAGGCTCTAAAGATTGGAGTTCTGTAACTAGTAAAACATATACGGAAAGGGACTCAAGGAGGGAAAGGGTGGGAGCAGACGGATGAGGATATATAGGTAGGGATGAAATCACAGGGTTGCAAAATTGGGTGAGTGGAGAGAGGGAGTAAAATAAATGTAAAAGATCCAGGGGAGACCTGAAAACATGGGGTAATGATGGGCATAGTCCAATGATGATTAATTTTTTTTAAACATTTTTTAAAAATTAGTTTTAATGAAAGTTTAGAGACTTAGGGTTTCCACTTATTCTTTGTTGCACTTTTCTCCCTGTCTACCACCCCCCCCAGTTCGCTCTTCTGTTTGAAAAATTATTTCATTGTTATACAGTCACCCCCCAAGTCCACTCACTGTGCAGCCTTCATTCTGGACTCCTGTCATGACAATAATACCTAATTATATATATCCATTTTAAACAGTTCTCTCCCTCATCTGTTTCAATGCAGTATATATGATTTATGCCCTCTTTCTTAGTCTTCCCTCTACCCTGGTGTCAGTCTTGTTTTACAAAAGTTGTCCTATGCAATATTTGTCCTTTTGTGACTGAGATATTTCACTTAGCATAATGTCCTTCATTTTGTATAATATTTCAGGAGTTCCTTGTTTTTTAATGCACCAAAGTATTCCATTGTGTGAATATACCAGAGCTGCTGTATCCATTCGTTAGTTGATGGGCACTTGGGTTGTTTCCAACTCCTTGCTATTGTGAACAAAGCTGCAGTAAACATGGGTGTACATATATTTGGTTGGGTGACAGCTATGGTTTCTTTAGGGTGTCTTCCCAGTAGTGGAATTGCTGGATCAAATGGTATTTCTATTTGCAACTTTTGAGAAAGCGCCATACCGCTTTCCATGGTGGTTGTACCATTTTACACTCCCACCAACCGTGAATAAGGGTTCCAGTTTCTCCGCAACCTCATCAGCATTTGCTGTTTGCTGTTCTGTTAAATTTTGCTATTCTTACTGGGGTGAGATGATCTCTCAAAGTTGTTTTGATTTGCATCTCTTAGAGCTAGGGATTTTGAACATTTTTTCATGTGCTTATTGGCCATCTTTGGTGAAGTGTCTGTTCATATCTTGTGCCCATTTTTCAGTTGGGTTATTCACCTTTATCTTGTTGTGGTGCTCAATTATTTTATTAATTCTAGATATAAGTCTCTTGTCTGACATATCATTACTGAGTATTTTTCCCCAGTGTGTGGCTTCCCTTTTTACTCACTTGTAGAAGTTTTTGGATGTGCATAGGGATTTGATTCTTAGAAGGTCCCATTGATCTGTTTTATCCTCTCCTGGTTGTAGATTTTCCAGAATACTTGGAAGACTGTTTATGTTGTGGATTAGGACTTCTAGAGTTCTTCCAAGCTTTTCTTGATGATGATTAATTTTATAAAACATAATACGTAGGAATGATTGTATGAAACAGTGTGAATGATGAACAGTATGAAACAAATGGTATATGAACTTTGTAAGAAAAGCAATATAAATGAAATTTCTTATAAAATGCAGAGAGTAAAAGAAATTGGAGTTCTTCACTGTTTCTTATAAGGTGACTAGTTACACTGTTATTCACATTTAATAATGACCAGTTGCTGTTTGATGGCACCTAACAACAAAAAGAAGAACTTCAAGAGTAGTGGTGTATTTGAAATTGTGAAGAGCAGTGTAACTAATCACATTATTGAGCACCTTCTATCTCCTGGCCCGGAAACAGTACTGTTGAGAATAAAGAATCAGATGTGGTCTGTGCTTTTTGGAAGCTGTATAAAGACCTTGGGTGCCACGAGAGCTGCCACATCTAACCTCTAATAACCCCCACAATAAGGGATTTATCTTTAACTGCCCCACAAATTGCTGTCTGTCAGATACTCCTCTAAATCTGAACATTCAGATTAAGACAGACTAGGAAGA